AACGTCGACTACATAACCTATCGAGGGCCGATGAGTCTTTACAGATATGAGCTAAGCATGAAACGCCCGATGCCCCATGTGGCGTGAAAAGAGTCTTGGACTTCGGTTTTATCACACGAAATGTCTCCCAGTACAGTGACGACGCCCGTGTTCATGTTCACACATTGACTTGTTGACAGATGCTTGGTCTGTACAAATGATGAAGTAAAATGATGCTCCATTAGGGGTTAGAAAGACAGAAGAAAAAGAAGAAGATGAAGGCATATTGGGCTTATCTGGCTAGACCTATATTTTATAAATCAGTCGGCACGTGGTGGTTGAGGTTGTCAGCATTACGCCTGCAGTCTTAACTTTTTGGGATATTAACTGGTACTCATTTAAGGTTAGGTCGACCTGGGAGCCAAGGTCATTTCAGGAAACAAGTCTAGCTCAGTAAGGATCTGATTTATAGACTATTAGGCCAAACATTTAAGAAGCCTTTACGACTTCACCGCATGACAATAGGCGGTTGCAGCCAGAGGGCACTGGATCTCAAATTTTTCCTCTTCGCTGAATTGTAGATGTAGTTTATGATGATGATGACAGTGAGTTGGCCCTGAGTGGATGATGTGGTCAGCATCATAATGACCGCCCTTTTTCCTAGAACCAAAAAGTTGTGTCTATTTTAGGCTATTTCAATCTTGGAACAAAGATCAATTTTTAAGAACAATCCACTTTGATAAGGATTTTGACTCAAGAACTTTGGGCCAGCAGACAAACTCCTAGCTACTGTGCCACCTCAACGACCCATAAACTATTTGTTTGGTACTATGTTTTTGTGTGTGTGTACTTACTAATCATGAGAATGAATCCAGCAATGTCAACAACGACAGCGTGCAATCTGAAAGTAGAAACACCAATAGGTAGGGTACGAGTATGAAGAAGACAAAATGAAGGAATCGCGTCACTTTGAGATTCCACAACATCGCAGCATACGGGGTAGCCGAACGTGCCATAGCTTGGAAACCGATCATCTGTTAATCTGCGACCCGTAGTGATGCAAAGATAGCCTGGAATGGAAGGAGTGAGCAACAGGTGCCACTGTGCAATTAATTCAGGATAATGCTCGCCACAGTGATGTGATTATTTATATTTATAACTCTAATCCCCCCTCTTCGCTTAATGGCAGATGTGGTTTATGATGATGATGATGATGACAATGGGTAGACTCTGAGTGGGTAATGTGGTCAGGATCACCATGACCGCCCTACTTTGCAAGGATTAGTAAGGGCTATCTATTATAGACTGAGTCAATCTGGAAACAGCGGTCAATTTTTCAAAACAATCCACCTTGAAACTCGACGTTCAGAGGAAAGGCAAGATGGACGTATATTCAGAATGCTACTGGCACCACTGCTATTGGAACTCTGCCCTGGCAGCTGAAGATGGGGACGGAGGGCTTATGAGCCTGAGTACAGTGATGTAGTTTTTGAATCAACTCAATTCTACTCAAACATGACACGGACTCAATACCTTTGGGCCGGTAGGCAAACTCCCAGCCACTGTGCTACCGACCCATACATGTGTCTAGCACCATATGCCTCGAGTGCTGAAACCGTGTAAAGAAATCCGTTATTTTCTGTACTTACTAACAATGAAAGGGAATCCAGCGATGTCAGCAACGACATCGTGCAGTAAGAAAGTAGAAAGACCAAGAGGTAGTTAACAACTTAGAAGGAGACAGTCTGAAAAATCATTGACACCTTGAGACCCCACAACATCACAGCATTCGGGGCAGCCAAGCGTTCAATAGCTTTGAAACCTATCATTTTTTTAATCTGCGACCCGTACTAGTGCAAAGATAGCCTGGAATGCAGGGAGTGTGGAACAAGTGCCACTGTGCAATCAATTCAGGGTAATACTCGCCACGGTGATGTGATTATTTATACAGATGGTTCAGTGTCAACAGGCAAAAGAAGTTCCTGTGGTTTTTTTTTTTTAGCAAAAGCTAATGGTCGACGTTTGGTGCAGGAGAGCCTAGCATACGATACCACGACATCCAGCTTAAGAAATGATGTGGTGGCGGTCACTGCAGCTTTCCGCTGGCTAGAGAACACGACACATACACACAACACATACACAACACACCATACATACACACACCATACATACACACAACACACACAACACACACACACACACAACAACAACAACATTGCTTTGAGGTAAAGTTGGGAGAAGTTAATTTGCACACCAGTGTAGAAAATGTACAGTTCAGGATGAAAACAACTGATAACAGACCACTACGGTCTGAGGAGAATAGGGTTGCGAGCAGTTACCAGGAATCTGACCGGCGCTCATGACTTAAGAGGAAAGCTAAGCGGATATACAATGTCACTGGTGTTTTCGGAAATGGAACTCTTCGATTGTTGCTGAAGAAAGGAACGGAGCGCTTATAGAAGTGCCCCAGTGCTGTAATGTCGATTCTTAATTCAACACTCAATATTGTAGAAACTGTATGAGATGAAATGATGACATGGTAGAAGAACATAATACCAAATTTGGCAAATGTGTTTGTTAGGTATAGTGTTTGCCTGTGTTGCATTGTAGGTATTTGTGTATGTATTATAACAAATAATGCCGTTTGTTAGTGTGTTGTATGGTTACGCAAATTAAAGCTGTTCTTTTGAAAAACTGCAACATATCTTGCATTATTTATCTCAGTCATTCTCTCAGTCATTATCTCAGACATGTCGTGTGTCTCAAGGTATAAAAATAAGACATCAAACTCGCCTTGGACTCAAATGATAGACACCTTTCAATATCTAAACCATTATCTCTTATTTAGATGAGATTAGAGGAAAGGAGAAAATATTCTCATGTTTCTTCTTAAGTCTATAAAGCGGTACAGATAAAGAGAAAATGATACCACATCTTAGGATACATTGACACTGAATATATGAAGGCGTGAGTAGTAGTATCTTTATCAACATAACCATCTCGTTGTGCCGTTTTAATTTACATTATAGTCCTCTTTTTTTTCTTTGTCTTGTGTGCCTTCATTCGATACAATGGATTGACTGCAGTTCAGCAGCTAGGCCTGTATTAACAACTTTCGTCTTAAGTCATTGTTTTCTTAATGCGTCTGGTTCTAATTTGTAAACCTTGCTTAAACCAGATTCTAGATTACTAAAGAGGGTAAATTAGAACGGCTCAAGAAAAGCAGCAATTTGGTGAAAGAATAATATTTTGTGCTATTTATCTTTGTCAACCAAGGAGGTGGGAAAGAGGTAAATGAGAGGATTTAGCAGGTAATCATGATATACAGAAGTCAATCACAGATTATTGCAAAGCTATGTAGATGGCGTAGAAAACTGCTTTTGCAGAAAAATGATGCTCAGATAAAATATTAATAATAATTTAGCGAAAATGTCAGGAATGAAAAGAAAAAATAATGTACTGATTACCTGTATCAGAAGATTGACCGAATCATTTAAACAGATCGTGAGAAAAAGAAAACTGGAGTACGTAGTGACAACATGAAAGTTGAAGGGAAGATGAGAAAGTGAGAGAAAGTTGGACAGTTGGGCACCAGAATCCTTTTGTTTTGGAAATGAGTTGCAGTACCTGAGAAAGAACACGGAGGGCAGACATATTGACCTAGGAAACATTGCATGAACCTTGCTAATACGAATTATAATTGTTTAAAATTGATATAGTAATTATTTCTGTTATGCGTATTGTTATTAATATTTATGTTGCATTCATATTAAACTCACTGCATACATTTAGAGTAATTATACTGCCACATTACATAGGTTTTAACTGTGTTTATTCTATCTCAGTCAGGTATTTCGCTTCTTGGTATACCCATGGATTTTTACTTGTATGGTGAAATGAGTAGTCTCGTCAGCATTGGAATGGCCATGGGCTGCATATATGCCCTGCTGCTACTTGTTCCCCTTATGTACCCACTTCGTCTCTTGAGCCTGTACGAATACCTGGAGCTGAGGTTCCAGTCCCGATCACTGAGGCTGCTTGCTCTCCTGATTGGAATGCTTCAAACGTTGGGTTACATGGCAATAGCTCTTCTCTCGCCCGCACTGGCACTACAGGTTCGTTGTAGGTTTCGTTAGAAGCTGGCTAGTTTTAAATAAACTAAACATCAAACACAGTATAGTTTTTTATTTTGTTTGCCTTCACCAGCGGTAAACTCTGGTGAAGAGCCCCTGTTGTTTGTCCATTTCTGGACTCCGTCTTTGTTCCAGAACCTGAATTGTGCATGCACATCCGTTTTACATATCTGTATAATCTGCATGCAAACTGTTGACTCCTCGTCTCTTAAAAAGATTCACTCCGACTTCGAAGGTAACTCCCCTAACTAATTGTCTTTTACGACATGCTTTTTAGAGGGGTGTGGGTCAGTTCTGTTTAGAGGGGTGTGGGTCAGTTCTGTTTAGAGGGGTGTGGGTCAGTTCTGTTTAGAGGGGTGTGGGTCAGTTCTGTTTAGAGGGGTGTGGGTCAGTTCTGTTTAGAGGGGTGTGGGTCAGTTCTGTTTAGAGGGGTGTGGGTCAGTTCTGTTTAGAGGGTGTGGGTCAGTTCTGTTTAGAGGGGTGTGGGTCAGTTCTGTTTAGAGGGGTGTGGGTCAGTTCTGTTTAGAGGGGTGTGGGTCAGTTCTGTTCTCCTTCAAAATGGGATCGCGGAACCCGCACAGGGAAAACATATTGTACGATTTCGGATTTAGAGACAAAAGATCGGTAAACACATTTGGAAGACTACCCAAACCCGGCGTGATCAGTCCGAGCTTTCAAGCTGCAAGAAGAAGACTGCATAAACTAACTTACCCGAAGTGAACAAGTAGCTAGTTGCAGAGTCCGCAGACGGTTTGATAGGCTGAATACTACTTGTCTCATTGATAACTATCGATATGAGAAATTCTGTATATAGTGCAAGTGGTAAAGGGAGGCCTAACATTAGTTCCGAATGGGTCCAGCATCTGAAGGTCAGATGAATGGTGTTTAGCCCACACCTATTATAAAAACGTAGAGTTAAACCGACAGACAGACAGACAGACAGACAGACAGACAGACAGACAGACAGACAGACAGACAGACAGACAGACAGACAGACAGACAGACGGACGGACGGACAGACAGACAGACAGACAGACAGACAGACAGACAGACAGACAGACAGACAGATAGATAGATAGATAGATAGATAGATAGATAGATAGATAGATAGATAGATAGATAGATAGATAGATAGATAGATAGATAGATAGATAGATAGATAGATAGATAGATAGATAGATAGATAGATAGATAGATAGATAGATAGATAGATAGATAGATAGATAGATAGATAGATAGATAGATAGATAGATAGATAGATAGATAGATAGATAGATAGATAGATAGATAGATAGATAGATAGATAGATAGATAGATAGATTAGATAGACAGACAGACAGATAGATAGATAGATAGATAGATAGATAGATAGATAGATAGATAGATAGATAGATAGATAGATAGATAGATAGATAGATAGATAGATAGATAGATATAGATAGATAGATAGATAGATAGATAGATAGATAGATAGATAGATAGATAGATAGATAGATAGATAGATAGATAGATAGATAGATAGATAGATAGATAGATAGATAGATAGATAGATAGATAGATAGATAGATAGATAGATAGATAGATAGATAGATAGATAGATAGATAGATAGATAGATTAGATAGATAGATAAGATGGATTAGATAGACAGACAGATAGATAGATAGATAGATAGTGTGACGTGACGCGTGGTTTAAATGTTTATGTTGTTGAGTAGGGATCTTCCTTTCAACACATTCTCTCCACTAGATACACCGAACTAAATCTGAGCTATGTTGCTCTCAGACAAAGTCCTGGATATCCAAGAAAACAGCCATATTGGCTCGTTAAGTATATTAACATTAGCTGAACTTGGTACCCACAAGAGAAGGCAAGGAATTTTAGATGTCTATCATACTTAATGAATTATTAGACAGGGCAAGTGATTCCTCCGTCATCTACCTTCTCCCGGTGTTTTTATGAATAATTAAAGAATTATTATATTATTAATTGAGCCCCCACCAAATGTAATTCTATCTATGTTTAGTTAAACAGGTAAGACTGAATACACTTGGAATTTAACAAACGATGTAGTATAAAACTTGACATACAGCTTTATTTTCTAACAATCAGTTAATTGACATACCCAGTTTGTTGTGTTTACACAAACAGTGACTAGCTAAAGTTATGATAGTAATGGGTTGTTTCAGCGCGAGAACAGCACCTGGGATTAGAGTGGTGTGATGAAGGTGATAAAGTATGAACAATTTATGAACATAACTCAAGTTTCATAGAACCTCTGACAGCCGTGAGCACTGTCAAGCTCTTCCTCCTCTTCCAGCTTCTTCCCTGCTTGTTTCTCCTTCTCGCCCCCACCTCGTTCTCCCCCTCGTTCCCAGCTGGCCGAGTCTAACACAATGTAGGCTACTTCATGGACTGATCGTCACATGGGCGCTGTAATCATGGAAACAAAACACATACGTGTAGTATCTTGACTTACACTAAGAATACATGTATCAATTAATACAACATATAATAATAGGATATAGTAATAAGATATAGCCCATCACTCCTCCTCATATTCCACATCCTCTCCAGTCTAGTCTGAAGGTCTTTTTGTCTTACATGGGCGTCACATATCCTGCCTTCCCCTCAAATGCTATGTCATGATAGTTGACTTTCTAAGTCTGTTGTCCGTCTTCACTCAGACTTCGAGTTGGCTGACATAGATATTACATGACCACGTGGAGCAGGTTTATGTGCTGAAAACTCAAACATTATATATGTGCACGCTGTCCTGAATATTATCTTTCAGTGACAGTAAATACTGTACACCCATCATTCTCCCCCTGGGGTTTTAAATCCCCTGTTTAGGTGAACACATTAAGTGAGCACATGGTGGGCACACAAAACGTAGCAGCATCCCTGCACATATTTGGGCATCATTTCCCACAGTCCCAACTCATATTTTGGCTGATCGTGAAAACAATATAATTACATTTCATTATAGCAAATGTCATTGTTCACATCTTATTTTATACACATGAAAACATACAATGAAAAACACATGTGACACAAACATACAGGAAATAGGAATAGTTTAGCAGTTCCTTAACTTGAGATACTGAATACTCACAGAACTATTTCAAGCAGAATGTGCAGACAAATTAGGAAAAGGTAGTATAGACTAAGCTTAACTCCCTAACCTAAGTATACAAGATTAAAATTAATATTTTCTCTCACCTGGGAACTTCCCATTTATCGCCAAACCAGAGTACGACAGTAAAATATACCTTTACGTCGACCTGTTTGTTTGCCGGCAGGCTGCGATTAATGACGGGAATTCCACAGGCTCGCAGTATAAGTATTAATCTATTGTCCAAATTAAACTCCTCCCTTTCCTTAGTTTTTACCCAACCCTCAAGATGCTGGCTTAAAGCAATATTAGGATAAAGCGCAGAGTAAATATAATTCTGTCTCTTTAGAACCAGAAGAACTTATTACAAGTACTAACTTCTGGAATCACTGAGATCGTCTCGTGACAGGCCCTCCGTTAAGTTGGTCGCAGCCACTAAGACCAATTTTACGATACTCAGTGATCCCCAAGAATGTTAGTACAACCTGTCATCTCCAGTATTGTTCCAGTATTCCTTGTGGAATCGTGATGTCCTGCATCGATATACAGTCACCAATTGTCCCTCATTCCAGGCTAAGTCCTTAGTCCTAGAATCATGTGGGTATTCTGAGCAGCCGCTCCGTAATATCCATTTATCTGGAGGTTTCTTCTCCCGCAGGATAAGAAATAATCTCCGTTTCAACAATGGGATTCCTCGACATCGTTGACTGACAGTCCCTGTCAATTTCCTCGCTTCGCCACGCCCTATGAGCATAGGGAGGGCCTGAAGTGCTCTCCGAAAAGGATGAGTTGTAGTCAGGTAGGATTTTCTTTTCCTACATCTACAGATCCTGAAAAAAACTGTCACTAATCTCCTCTCAAATTGAGGGATATAGTCACTCATCATGACAGCATGCCGTGAGTGCAACTGACCACTGCCGATTTCTTGAAGGAGTGTCCACTGGTTTCCTCCTCGGTGCATCCTTTCCCTTTTACAAATTGTCCGGGTGGAATTCTCTTTCATTAAGATCAGTCCAGAATCAGAGCACGAAATCAAGTCAGGGGGTACAGTCAAATCATTAGGAAACTCAGGGTTTCCTGCAGACAGTAAAGTGGCATTTCTTCGCAATGAAGTTTCCACTATCAGCTGAGATACTCCTGTCACTTCCTTCGAAGCGAAGAGTAATACAAGACCAGAATGTTGGGGTTCCCTACTATTTATGGCTTGTTCCGCTTCAGGGTCCTTCATCAGAAGTATCCCTGCCGCCCCAGCTGTACAGGATAGAGACAATTTGTCTCCCTGCACACAAGAAGTACCTTCTTCTTCATCAATGGCAAACATTTCTGTCTGTCCAGTATCAGAGTGCACAGGACTTGCAGCAATGTCCTGTTTACTCACTGTCTCTAAGGTCGTCAAGAACTTAAGAGAACTATCCTCCTTATCTGTTATATCCGCCCTGGTCTGGCTTTCACATACCAAGTCTAGTGGAGGCAAATAAGGGGATTTGTCGCTACCATCACAGTCAACTACTTTGGGCGAAAAGTCAGAACTAACTATTCCTATTTTGTATGCAATCGCATCAAGGGAAATAGGGGAAACAGGTTTAGTGTTATTCCCTACATTAGTCTGCTTTACTTCTTCTTCTTGTTTGGAAGGACCAAAGGGATTATGGGAGTTGGGTAAGTCTTTGCCCTCGTCCTCATTAATGGCTGGTGTGCCAGTCGAACCAGTATGTCGACGGTCAGAACAGTTATCACGCTTGTGATTACTGCGGGGTGTGCTCTCATATATCTCATCTGAGATAATGTGAGTAAGGGGTTCCAGCAATGTAGATCCGGTCCCTTTTGAAGATTTCTGTTTCTTACTCCATCTTTTCCTTTTAGGCTTAAGAATGGAAGTAAATGGGGCCAGCAATGTAGATCCGGTCATCCCTACAGAAAAGTTCTTCTTAATGTCAGCTCTGTCCTTATTAGGAATAAGAGGGGTGAGGCAAGGTCTTGGGTGGTCTAATACTTCATCACTTGATGAGGTACCGTTTGGCAGACTAGTACACACCTCTCCATTGAGAGAGTGAGTCCCTGACCTTTCTACCAGAGTGTCAGTATGGGAGTTGTCAGTTCCCTCAACTACCCTAATAGTGTTCTCACCGTTCCCTGTGTCTAACTGCAGTTCTCTATTCGTCTGCCTAAGTGGTTTATAGTTACGCAGCTTTTCTTGAAAACGCCTCGTTCTTTCAACAGCTGCCTCCTCTTCGAGTCGCAACTGTCTAGCATATTCTTCTTCTTCAAGTTGCCGCATTCTCTCTTCTTCTAGCCTCTCCGCTGCATGACGGGCAAGCATCGAGTCATATTCTTCTTTCTCCAACTTTCGCTTCTTCTCTGCAGCATTACGGGCACTCATGTAATCGAAAGTATCCATATGGCCTTTAACATATGATTCTAACTGCGCTCCCACTCTACCCTCTGCTATCCCGATCTTCCTTACATCTTTTCGGAACTCGGTGCGTAAGTCCATTCTATCTTATTAGATCTATCTAGAGATAAATAAAATACTACCCCGAGTCCAGATTAAAAGAATATATTAGAGCAAGGTAAACTGGGCAAAAGAGTAGCCTATGACAGCCGCACAAAGATGTAAATAAATCAAAGTGGCCTACCAGACTGACAGCTTTTAGAATAGTATAGCAGCACAAAGATTACACCGGTAAATGATATGATGTGATCTTACAATCAGTCACTAAGCATAATATCAATGATATGATGTCAACATATAATGCTCTACAATCTATATCAAATGATGGAACATGCAAGCAGATATAATAATCAACATTAAAATTTACTAAATAAACAATAATCAATGGTTATGAAGTGATCAATGATAAGACATGATACTATCCATTTATTTATTTTAGTAAAAAGTTACTTATTACTCTGTACTCTCTCCCCATGTATAAATTACTAATTTTAATTTAGACTATACTGGCAGAAGAGTTAAAGTTAAATTTTAAAAATTTACTTTCATTAGTCTAGGAGTAATTAGCCCCGTCCCAATCTCGGCGAGCTCGCCAGTGTGACGTGACGCGTGGTTTAAATGTTTATGTTGTTGAGTAGGGATCTTCCTTTCAACACATTCTCTCCACTAGATACACCGAACTAAATCTGAGCTATGTTGCTCTCAGACAAAGTCCTGGATATCCAAGAAAACAGCCATATTGGCTCGTTAAGTATATTAACATTAGCTGAACTTGGTACCCACAAGAGAAGGCAAGGAATTTTAGATGTCTATCATACTTAATGAATTATTAGACAGGGCAAGTGATTCCTCCGTCATCTACCTTCTCCCGGTGTTTTTATGAATAATTAAAGAATTATTATATTATTAATTGAGCCCCCACCAAATGTAATTCTATCTATGTTTAGTTAAACAGGTAAGACTGAATACACTTGGAATTTAACAAACGATGTAGTATAAAACTTGACATACAGCTTTATTTTCTAACAATCAGTTAATTGACATACCCAGTTTGTTGTGTTTACACAAACAGTGACTAGCTAAAGTTATGATAGTAATGGGTTGTTTCAGCGCGAGAACAGCACCTGGGATTAGAGTGGTGTGATGAAGGTGATAAAGTATGAACAATTTATGAACATAACTCAAGTTTCATAGAACCTCTGACAGCCGTGAGCACTGTCAAGCTCTTCCTCCTCTTCCAGCTTCTTCCCTGCTTGTTTCTCCTTCTCGCCCCCACCTCGTTCTCCCCCTCGTTCCCAGCTGGCCGAGTCTAACACAATGTAGGCTACTTCATGGACTGATCGTCACATGGGCGCTGTAATCATGGAAACAAAACACATACGTGTAGTATCTTGACTTACACTAAGAATACATGTATCAATTAATACAACATATAATAATAGGATATAGTAATAAGATATAGCCCATCACTCCTCCTCATATTCCACATCCTCTCCAGTCTAGTCTGAAGGTCTTTTGTCTTACATGGGCGTCACATATCCTGCCTTCCCTCAAATGCTATGTCATGATAGTTGACTTTCTAAGTCTGTTGTCCGTCTTCACTCAGACTTCGAGTTGGCTGACATAGATATTACATGACCACGTGGAGCAGGTTATGTGCTGAAAACTCAAACATTATATATGTGCACGCTGTCCTGAATATTATCTTTCAGTGACAGTAAATACTGTACACCCATCATTCTCCCCTTGGGGTTTTAAATCCCCTGTTTAGGTGAACACATTAAGTGAGCACATGGTGGGCACACAAAACGTAGCAGCATCCCTGCACATATTTGGGCATCATTTCCCACAGTCCCAACTCATATTTTGGCTGATCGTGAAAACAATATAATTACATTTCATTATAGCAAATGTCATTGTTCACATCTTATTTTATACACATGAAAACATACAATGAAAAACATGTGACACAAACATACAGGAAATAGGAATAGTTTAGCAGTTCCTTAACTTGAGATACTGAATACTCACAGAACTATTTCAAGCAGAATGTGCAGACAAATTAGGAAAAGGTAGTATAGACTAAGCTTAACTCCCTAACCTAAGTATACAAGATTAAAATTAATATTTTCTCTCACCTGGGAACTTCCCATTTATCGCCAAACCAGAGTACGACAGTAAAATATACCTTTACGTCGACCTGTTTGTTTGCCGGCAGGCTGCGATTAATGACGGGAATTCCACAGGCTCGCAGTATAAGTATTAATCTATTGTCCAAATTAAACTCCTCCCTTTCCTTAGTTTTTACCCAACCCTCAAGATGCTGGCTTAAAGCAATATTAGGATAAAGCGCAGAGTAAATATAATTCTGTCTCTTTAGAACCAGAAGAACTTATTACAAGTACTAACTTCTGGAATCACTGAGATCGTCTCGTGACAGATAGATAGATAGATAGATAGATAGATAGATAGATAGATAGATAGATAGATAGATAGATAGATAGATAGATAGATAGATAGATAGATAGATAGATAGATAGATAGATAGATAGATAGATAGATAGATAAATAGATAGATAGATAGATAGATAGATAGATAGATAGATAGATAGATAGATAGATAGATAGATAGATAGATAGATAGATAGATAGATAGATAGATAGATAGATAGATAGATAGATAGATAGATAGATAGATAGATAGATAGATAGATAGATAGATAGATAGATAGATAGATAGATAGATAAGATAGATAGATAGATAGATAGATAGATAGATAGATAGATAGATAGATAGATAGATAGATAGATAGATAGATAGATAGATAGATAGATAGATAGATAGATAGATAGATAGATAGATAGATAGATAGATAGATAGATAGATAGATAGATAGATAGATAGATAGATAGATAGATAGATAGATAGATAGATAGATAGATAGATAGATACATAGATACATAGATAGATAGATAGATACATACATAGATAGATACTGACTGATTGTCGATTAATTGATTGATTGAATCATTGATTGACTGACAATGTGCTATTTCAGGCTGGTGTAGGGTTACCAGTGTGGTTGTCTGTTGGTGTCATTGGACTTATTGGTACACTGTACACAGCAATCGGAGGTATCAAGAGCGTGGTGTGGACTGATGCATTCCAATGTTTCGTTACTCTTGGTGGAATGTTGACAATTATCATACGAGGTATCATACTGTCAAATGAAATTTTTTATTTTATTTGAGTCGAAGTTTCGGTGCACAAATCACATGAATTTGTGAACGCAGTTTTACTATTCTGCCGCAAGGTTAGAAGTTAGCCTTAGAAAGTTTGGGTAGCATTTTGACGACTGCGTGAGTGACGTACGGTTCAGTGACAGGGAAGCAATCATGTTATAGCAGATATACAGTCTTGGGATTTGGCCCGACTGTCTTAAGTTCGAATCCGTATCCAGTCGGATGTTTAAAAAAAAAGGACTTTGGCTCCCAGGTCGATCCATCATCTAAATGAGTAAAAGGCAAAGCCACTAAAAGTAACGGTGACCAGTGGGGCGTTGACCACGGCACCCATCGAGGATCATTGATGTCCAGTAGAGAGCTGGCAGATTTGGCGGTTGTGTAAGGTACACAAGAAAACAAATGGTAACCTGATGAATCAACCCGGTGTAATTTAGACCACACTACGTAGCGAGTACTGATTGCCTATTTAAAAGGAAAAGAAAAAAAGAAAGAAAAGAAAAGGTATCGTACATCTACATCAATACATCACTTAATTTTAAAATGTTCTTCATATTCAAAGGGCAGCGACACTAAGAAAACATTCGGCGAGAAGGAGGGGGTAAGGCCCTTAGCACTCTCCCTTAGCGCGAAAAATTTTATTGCTTGGGCGTGGGAGGGTTAATCCTTGCATAAGGACATACTAATAATAATTATAATGTATTGATAGCCCCCCCCCCCCTTCCCCCCCCCCCCAAAAAAAAGAGTGATATCTTAGAAATAACTTGAAATGTATAAACCAAAAAGGCTGGACTAAGCCGTCACCCTTAAAGTCTAATTCGAGTCCCAGTCCATTGCCCACAAGCCCCATGTCTGAAGTCTCTACGAATGCTTCCAAACATATACTTTCCAAGAGCATCTCGTCAACTGGCGAAATGGAGCCTCTAAGGGTACCTTTGTGGACGGGAGCTGTAGCAAGCCCCAGTCCGTCTTAAAAACTGCTTTTGGGGGAGAGAGAGCTTAATTTTTTGAGTGCTTAGCTTCAGGCTTATGTAATCTTCTTTCAAATAAAAAAAACTTTCACTGCACTGGTGTGACAAAATGTAAATAAACTCCTAAAAGTCTAAGAAGTAGCTCTGGGTTCTCATACACTTCTCCAGCATGTAACGTTGAGAGGTTCAATGACACTTTCAAGGTCTCCTTGCTTTAATAAGGTGATAATTTGTTAATTTGAAGTCCGATATGGTTATAATTTGATTTTTTTCATAAGGTAATATATATTTTAATAGTTTGGTAAGTTCAAAATATGATTATGTCTTAGTTTGTTCAGGTAATAATTTTATAGTTTGATCAGACGATAATTTAAAAGTTTGTTGATGTCAGCTCCCTTCCGAAATTCCAGACGAAAATGTTATGATGTGTTATGGGGTGGCATGGCAATAGCAACCAATGGCAGTGGCGCGTCTCACTAGCTAGACTTTCAGCGATAATAAAAGCCTTCCGCAGTTAGACAATCAGATTGCAGGACCTTTATTGCTATCACATGTATTTAGTGTGGTGCTTCTCAGACGCTCAGCTCTCATCACGTTCCGCAATAATTTTGTTCCTCATTTATTTCCGTTCCTATCCTGACCCCCCCCCCCCCCCCAACCCCAAACCACAACCTCTCACCCTCTTTTTTTCCCGAAGAAACACGGCTATGGTATTTTAGTCTTACGAAACTGCTTCGATACATGTATCATTTATGTCCTTTTTGCACACATCTTTATATGGTTGTGGAAGTCGACCTCTACATCTTCTAACCATCTGCAGTTCACAACAGTCTTTAGGAACTCTAGCATCCCCCATTCTGCAAGTGTGACCCAACCACCCGAGACTTCGGAGTTTGCGCATTGTGAAAACTGTTGTGATACCTGATCTTTCTAAGACCTCTGTGTTTGTAAATAATACAATGTAATTTAAGATTTTGAAGGTTTCATAAGAGACAAATTAATTATTTGACAAAATGGTAATTTGATTTATCCATAAGGTGATGGTTTGATCATGCGCAAGACAGAAACAACATGGCGACTGAACTTTCGAAGTGTACCCTTAAAGAACAACGTGCTGATGTGTGGTTATTTTTTTGGGGGGGGGGGGAGGGGGGGGGGCAAAAGGGGTGCCAACAAAGCATATTCGTAATAAAATGCTTCCTGTTAATGCTAACAAATGTTTATCGCGTAAAGCGGTGCATAGATAGGTAGAATTTTTCTTAAGGACAATTGTTGATGAGGTCCGATCTGGTCGTCCTGTTGAGATTGCAAAAGTCGCATCCGTCCAGTGGGTGGAATAATTGTTTAGAGGTGACAGACGAGTAACGGTTGACTCTGTAGCAGCTGCAATAGGGTGCTCACATGATTTTTGATCGACTAAGAACCCACTTTGGCGGGAGATATTTCACGAATGACGCAAAAGTTGAATGTGACGTAAAAATATGGTTAAGAAAATAGAGCACGCTGTTCTGTGCAGCAGGTTTGGGAGGACTGATAAAAGGATGGGACAAGTCCATCAATGTTGGTGGAAATCATGTTGAAAAATAAAGGGACAGTGTAGGTGTTTAAAAAAACGTTTTTCATGATTTTATTGTAAAAAGTTTTTTTTTAACAACCATTTGAGACTAACTTATTGACTTTCCCTCGTACTTTCTGCTATCAAATCTGTTCTTTCTCCATTAGATAATTCTTCCATCTGTAATAGAATTTACTTCAGTTTCGTCTTATTGTTCATTTACCCACTTTTCTTTTGCTCTTACACATTTATCTCTGATTTCTTTGTGTATATTGTCATATATTTTCTTTTTATTGTTTTTTTTTTTTTTTTTTTTTTTTGTGTGTATGCTTCTCCATCGACGTCAAGATTTCCTTAGTCATTTATTTATTCTTAGCTTTTTGTTTCACTGTCGGTAATAGCTCCTTGCTTAATTGTTAAATGGGGTATTTTAGCGTTTGCCATTGCTCATTCATACTTTGGATTTTAGTGACTGCATTGTACCTGTTTTTCACAATCACTCTGTTCTTGAATTTCTGTATCCACTTGTAGGATATCTATTTTTTAGGTTTTATGTTTTTAATCTCTTTCTTTCCTTACTTCAGTCTGACTTTTACTTTTCCACAAAGTGGGATGTGATCACTATTACGGCCGGCACCAGGCATTGTATTCACATTTATTGATGCATTTCCAAATCTTTTATTTATCATCATGTAGTCAATTTAGTTGAAAGATTTCTTATCAGGGCTTTTCCATGTGCAAAGTCGTCTCTTATGCTGTTTAAACCAGGTGTTTCAAATCATCATATCATTTGCTTTCCCCCATTCTGTTGGTATTTCCCTCTGTCATTTCTCGTACTTAAAACATAATCACCAACTACGTCTTCCATTTTTTTTTTTCCCTATATTTACGTTGAAATCTCCAATTTATTAATTCATTTTCTTGTGATGTGGTTTGCGATAATGCTCTTTAGACATCATCATACAATCTTTGTAGTTCTTCTTCATGGCTGTCCGTCATTGGAGCAATTACTTGATATTTACATCTACTGGGTCACCTTTGAGTTTAACCAGGATGACTGTATCCGATATACTCCACTAACCATCAATTTATTTAGTTGTTATTTGTCAAACACTAGTCTACTGGCCTACTCCTCTTTCATGCTTCCCACCACCTGAATATATTATTGCTTTTGTTGTCACTAATTATTTTACCAGGTCCCATCTATCTCATCTCACTAATTTCCAGGATGTTGAGTTTCCATCTTTTTTTTTTCATTTCCTATAAGACATTGTCTGCTTTCTCTAATTCCCCTAATGTTCGAACATTAGAGGTTCCTAATCTAAATCTATTCGTTTTGCCGTCAGTAGTCTGATGACAGTCTGCTGTCACCTGTGGCACATGACAATCCCTACCGGACAAGGCTGTCCGAAGACATTCTTTAACGTCATTAACTGAATATGTGACTGTATGAATACTTGGGAAATTAGTGTGGTGGTTTCCCGTAGTCTTCCACATCTACGTGGAGGTCTTTTACCTCTAGCACTGACAGTAATTTCTGACTGTCAGGACAAGTAAGTGCCCTGCTCCGTTCAGCTGCAGTTGTCCACTTATTCCGGTGGATACTCGGTCCCCAGAGCTGCGTTTGCGACACCTTGGTGTGTTGCCCATACTTTACCTCGTGGAGGTGCACCTGGGTTTTCCCTTCACTGAATTATGAGACCTTAATGGCATTTCCCAAAACTGTCACGTACTTTTTAGGAACAACTTTATAGATTAATAAATTGCCAGCTCAGTAATATAATTATGTTTTAACTTTATTAAACTATATGAACGTTCGTTTACGGATGGCAAGATTGTTTTTTTTTTTTTTTCTTTTGAAAGAATTTTGATTAATGATTTGCTAGTTTGATACAGTAACCTGCCAGTGTATATGAGGAGAAGCAATTTCTGGCTTGTAGGTTTCTCGGTGGTCAGGGGAGGAAACGCAGTCTTCAAGATCATACAGGAAAGTGGGAGAACATCGTATTCGAAAATCAGCTTGGATCCACGAGTGAAACTGACATGGTGGGGGACCACGATTGGGTTCAGTTTCTATTGGTGAGTCACCCCAAAAAAGCATTGTATTTTTTTCTAGTATCTGATTATGTAATTTTAGCTTCTTTGGAGTGGGTTGCATCCTGTCCTAATATAATAAGATTACCTTCATCAATATTATCAAGTGCATTGCCAAATAGCATAGAAGATGGTGTATCTCTCAAACTGCGATTTCCAAAAGTATGTATCAGTGTGTGCTAATGCTCTTCCCTGTCACGACGGAAAGGATACCAAGAAGTTCCTCTCGTTGTTTTCTTCTTTCTCTCTTTCCATAAATCTTTCTAGCTGTCATAAGATGCTCCAGTGTTTCTCTTATAGTGATTTTAAAAAAAAATAGATGCCTACTTCTTGCACATTTTGTGATATGTTGTCTTCAAGTCAACACTTTTTTTTTTACACATCTTGATAACTGACATTAGCAGCCCATTTTCCTGTAAAAGAAAACGTCTTTGATGTATCAAGAAATACGTTTGACTTGTTGTAATGAGACTATATTATAGTAACTCCAATGAATGTTGGCAGATTAAGAGCTGGAAATCTGAGAAGAAACAATTTCGTGACATACACTGGCAGCAAGCTCCTGAAATCCCATGTTCTCTAATCCTGGAAGACCTTTAACGCTGCGTTCGGGTCTTGCCAGTTTCGTTGGCATCGTCACGGGTTGTGATTCCGGTGCCTTTCTGTAGCAGAATATAATATTATGGACTGGAAATAAGGAAAAGTGCCAAATTTATGACTCCAACCATTCACAAGTTAGACAACTGACACCTTTGTTATGAAAATGCACATTTAATCCAGCAGCCTTTAGATTGTGAAGTATCTTGACTTCACACATACTAGTTGCGTATCCTTTACAGGACATTACACAGACGTCCCCGGCATTTTTTATTTTTGTGGGTTTTTTTCTAGGCAAATTTACGTCCAGTATTTTGCCATTGCTTTCTTGACGATCAGCTTCTCGATAGCACTGTCGAAACCAACACAAGGCGCAAGGCCCGCAGCTGGGATCGAACCCGGCACTCTGGCATTACGAAGCGCTTTCGCAGCGCCTAAGTCACAGACGCCGACTCACACATAATAAACCACGACATATGACGTGGGAGGACCAGTTTCCATTTTGTCACATTTCTTCAATCATCGTCATCATCACGTGCCTGTGGACTGAGGTGGGCGTTGTTTCTCTACAATATGCCAGCTTCGACATCGTATGTCAGTTCCTGTGTGGACACCTCACCGTACAATAACAAAACACCGACAAGACTCTTCTCGTGTTGTCTTCCTCTGCCTCTTTTTTTCACAAATCTCCCCATTACTCACAATATGTCCCTAGTTTTTTTTTTTTTTTTGTCATAGCACGACCAAGTAACTATGAGAGTCTTTTATCTGTTGTTTGTGACAGGTTGTCTTAGAACCCTCGCCGTTTTCAAAACATCTTGATTGTTTATTCCTAATAAATTCTCCTGATTCTTCTGTAAAAACCACATCTCCTAGGCCTTGAGAAATTGTTTGGCTTGTTCATTAATTGTACAGGACTCAACTCCATTTCTTTATAGCATGCGAATATTCTTGTCCTTATCCCCGATGCCTCATGAGAAACAGGAATGAAGAATACAACCCAACAGAAATTATAAATGATGAAGTTGGCCAACCTTTAATAGAACCTACTAAAATCTTAGCAAGGTGGAGTAATTACTTTGAAGCATTACTTAGCTGCAATAAAACAGATAAAAGCAGGGAAGAACATAAAAACAACTCGGAAATAACGGCAGAGGAACTAGAACCAGGTATATTATTGGATGAAGTAAAATATGCCATTCGAACCGCGCCTAGACTAAAGGCGACAGGTATTGATGATCTACCAGCTGAGGCCATCAAGGCAGCAGGAGAAACGGGAGCAATATGGTTAAAGAGAATATTTCAGGTCGCATGGGAAAATCAAGAAACACCATCAGATTGGCAAACTGCTGTCATTGTCCCGCTGTGGAAAAATAAAGGAAGTAAGAGGGAATGTACTAATTACAGAGGAATATCACTTCTCAGTCACACTGGGAAAATGTATGCTAAGATCATCGAAAAAAAGGCTGAGACCATTGATAGAGTATCAACTTTCAGAAGCACAGATGGGCTTTCGACGAAACAGAAGTTGCACAGATGCCATTTATACATTGAGACAACTATCAGAGAGGGCAATAGAACATGATAAGACATGTTTGTTGACATTCATAGACCAAGAAAAAGCCTTCGATAGAGTCGACAGGAATATGTTGTGGGAATGTATGGGGAAAAAAGGAATCAGCAATCATCTCATTAATACTTGCAAAAGCCTGTACACACGTAGTGAATGCTGCATAAGATCAAAGGCAGGGTTGTCTAGAACTTTTATAGTGAACTCTGGTGTGCGTCAGGGCTGTGTACTATCGCCGCTTCTTTTCATAACATACATGGACGCCATATGTAGCGAAACAGACTTTAATCAGGAAGAAGATATAACAGAATTACTTTTCGCCGACGACCAGGTACTCATAGCAGAAAATATGGAACGCCTACAGAACCACCTAAATCAAATTAGTAACAAGGGGGAGGAATATAATATGAAAATAAACACTACGAAGACAGAGACAATGATGATAGGAAGACATAAAGACAATTTAGAAATTAAATTAAAAAACAACACCCTGAGACAAACAGAGGAATTTAAGTATTTGGGAGCAATTTTTACTTCAGACGGAAAACTGGACAGAGAAATTAGCTCCAGATGTGCCAAAGCTAATCAAGTAATGGGCCAACTATCTCCCCTGTTGACACACAAGCAGATACCTCAGAGTACTAAAGTGAATCTTATCAGAACTATTTTTTGGCCAATACTATGCTATCAGTGCCAAAACGTGGACACTTACATCCTCCAATGAACGTAAAATTGTGACAACAGAGATGAAATGCCTTAGAAGAGCTGCAGGAGTTTCAAGGAAAGACAGAATACAAAATCATGAAATCAGACGAATGCTAGGAATAAAGCCAGTCTTACAGGTCATCAAGGAACAACAAATGAAATGGTTTGGACACCTAACAAGAATGCCCTGGTACTATCTGCCACAGCGAGCCACACTAAAACGATACAACGGGTATAAAGCGAGTGGAAGACCTCGGAAAAGATGGAGTGATGGCATTAAGAACAGCCTTACAGAAATGAACATCAGTCTTAATAGTGCTCTTGAAAGAGCTCATCAACGAACATTACATCTCCCCCCGACACTTCGATGAGGTACAAGGTGGAAGAGAAGAAGAAGAAGAAGAAGAAGATCCCCGATGCCTAAGATTTATTGCATAATATTTTTGTGTGTATTATAAAATGCAGTATAGCCTGTTATATTCTGTTTTTTTTTTTATGTTATACATAAATTATATGAGGCTGTGTCGACGTAAGAGTGGTACTGGTCGAAATGTAAACAATCCTGCCTGTACTGAAGGAATGACGAATAAACAAGCAATCAACGAAGAAAGAACAGTGGCTAATGTCTGAGGAGGTGAGATCACTAATCACTGCACCAGTGTTGTAAAGGGTGCAAGAAGTGACACTCGTATTACCACTGACAATAGCGTGGTTTAAACAAAACATCATTGTTGTCATATTCCCAGCCGATTAGCTTGAAAGCGGCCACTGTTGGTCGTCCCACACTATCACAAAAGTTAGTATCGGGTCGAATCTCTTGTCTAGCCGTAAGCACATGCGAAGCAGCCAAGCATTTGTCTGTTTGTTTCCCCTTGTTCTGTTTCCATTAATCATTAATCTCTTTATGTTCTCGGGTCTAATCCTTACATAACATGACAACAATAAGCTGATTTTTAGTCTAACTCTCTAATATGTTTACGGTATTTGCCTGTCTCTTGGAGTAATGAAGGGAATAGGAGAAACACGTTGTACCACCCTCTCATTGCAAAATATTCTTTGCCTCCACAAACACACACACACACACGTGGGCGCGCGCATATACACGCACACATATACACACACATGCACTGACATGTATGTCTGTGGCCGGTAGCAGTCCTCATGCTAATGTGCTTACACCTGTTTGTGCAGCTCATTCTTTTCCACTTACACTGCCTTTCTTTCTGTCTGTTTACCCTTGCGCAATCGATTCGTTTTAGTTACACTGTTTGTGGAATGCATTCCTTCTAATTACACTTATTACACTTCTTCTGTACACTGATTACACTTCTGGAATGTACGTTCTTTCATTGACGGTGTTGTTAAATACACTTTGAGCAAAAACTTCTTTCTATTTGCAGTGATTATGCTATACATTCATTCTAATACTTCCGGTGTCCGTGGCTTAGGCGTTGCAAACGCGCTTCGCAACAATGGGGTGCTGGGTTCCATCCCAGCTGCCGGCGATTTGGAAGCAGAAAGTCTTGTGTTGGTTTCAACAGTGGTACTGAGAGCTGACTTTTCAAGAAGCAATGGCAAACTACTTAACGTAAAAAAAAATTGCATAGAAAACTCACAAATCCTGGGGTTGGTTCTGCAACGTCATCTAAAGGATATGCCATTAACTTTCTTCTAATTCAACTCTTTGTACAATACATTCCTTTAAATTACATATGCAAATAACTTTATTTTAATTAAACTCTTTGTACAATACATTCCTTTAAATTAAATATGCAACTAACTTTATTCTAATTAAACTCCTTGTACAATACATTCCTTCAAATTACATATGCAACTAGCTTTATTTTAATTAAACTCTTTGTACAATACATTCCTTCAAATTACATATGCAACTAACTTTATTTTAATTAAACTCTTTGTACAAAACATTTCTTGAAATTACACTGCTATTGCCATATATTATCAAATGTTTTTTTCCATTTTCCAGTAATATTATTTGATGCTACCTGGCTTATAACTAAAGGTTTCACGTTTGAACAAGAGATCAACATCATGGCACTGTGACAATACGCTCGGTGACTTCAGAAAGTCTTTCCTCAACCTACTTTTATTTCTTTGTATTTTGAAAGTATACAGGAAAATAGGGATTTGGATACATCCTTAATCTAAGTAGGCGAAATAAACAAGCATTTAATTCTCCTGGACCGTTGGTCATATCAAACACTAAAACTTTTTCCCAGATGTTAAGTGTTAAGGTAGTCTTTGTGACGCCTGTGATTCTGCCCAGCCCAGACTTACTGTCTGCAGATTTGCACACCATTTGTCGGTGTCAGATATTTTATCTCCTAGCCAGACTTTTAGGAGCAGCTAACTCCGGCTAATTGTGTTTAAATTCCCCCTGAGGTTACCTAACTCGACGGCAGGTCCGACGGTCACTATTGACACAGTGAGCGGAAAGTGTTGGCAGAAGAATTGACAAAGTCGGATTTTATTGTGATGGCAGGTGAAGTAGACTGGAGGTGTGACTTGGCCTATTAGCTTTGACCAGCTTAATTGAACCAGGAGATCCTAGCGTGGGAATTTAAACAAGTGTTGTACAGCCCCTGACTGACAGCGAATAAACTTACCCACAGGGGAGGAGCTGTGATATCCTTGAATGAGAATGATTTTAGGCGTAATGTAGGAGGAGCTTGATAAAAGTTATAAAGGGCTGAACTCTAGGTCTGGTAAATGAGATCCTGTCCAGCACATGCCATCTGTTGGGCTTAACCTAAGCTTGAGACAGAACTTTTGGCATCGTGGTTTCATTTTTCCAAGTAAGATCGAAATTAGGTTCACATCTATATTTTGTGATAGAAATCTAACTGTCTTTTTACTCAAGTGTGTGTCTTCATCACTTTGTAGTACTCCTAGGCGGACATTTCTTCATTCTCGTAGGGCACTGTCACATTGCTTTATTTCCTATTTGATAGTGTCATGAATGTTTTTCGGGCACATGTGTTTCAATGTTGTAAAACCTAAATGTTGTTGTTGCCAGTGAAATTTAATGAACTATCATGTTTTTGAAATCACAAGCGTGAAGATAACTCTGGCAATCTTTTCACGTGTGGTTAATGTGAATCTGTATTACATACAGCTAACACACTGAAATGTGTTTAACTCTCGGGAGGCAAATGCGGAGATTGATCCCGGAGAGAAAATCCTTGAGATTTGGTATTTGATTCGCCTCAGAACTATTGTTGGCATTCTGGGCGCGTCGATTGTTCCAAGCATAGATTCCAGAACTGGTTCTGTCTGACTGATTGTCATTTTGAGTCTGTACGAGAGCTGGCACCTGACGTAGAAAACTTGACTATCATTACAGGACGTGTAGAGGAAGGCAGAAGATGTAACAGTTGGAATGTAAGACATAAGCCCTTCCAAATTGGACAGGAGTGAATGTGAGCATGAGGGAGAGATGAAATGTTGTATTTAAATAAACATGCTTGATGTTAGTATAATATACATGCTTAGTGTACATCTAGAGCAGATACTACAAATATGCGCTTGTTTCTTCATTCTCCAGTTCCCACATTGGGCAGGGACTAGGAGGCATCCATTATTTGCCGACCGTCGAGTGTAACGACCTGCAGAAAGCAGTGAGGACGACAAACTGGAAAAGATAGGCAGGGTCTCAAGCCGAGAACTGTCCTGACTGGTGAATTCTCCTACTAGGAGTTAAGTATATGTACAAACTGTCATCAATCACACTCCCTCAACTCTACTAGCCTAAACAAGTTCATTTTATTTTAATTTCGATTTATTCAAATAAATCATGTGTGATGAGTTTCATGATAGTTGAGTAAATTGTGTACTTAGGTTCAAGTGTCTTTGTGCATATTAGTTTACTTCAGCTAACAAATATTTAAATCACTTGATGGGGGCTTTTAAGTAATGCCAGGAGAGGAGACCAGTCGCAGGGGTTAACTGAGCACCTGGATTATATCACAGTGGGTTTATCCAGATATCTATCTATCCCTTCTCCTACTCCTGTGGATACAAGTACAGCAACTTTCATTGCATGGAACGAGCCACTCGCTGTTTTCTTGGCTATCCAGGACTGTCTAGGATCAACATAGCTTAGATAATAGTCCAGTTTCTCACGTGGGTGGGCATTGTTAAGGTTCAAACCCACACCCTCACTATTTCAGTGTATTTACCCACGTGGGCGCGCGACAGGCACACGGAGTGAAACCCATAAGTGCTCCGTTCTTCTTATAACTAAAATCTGAGTCCAAAGAAGCACAGCACAGTGCACAGGCGAGGATCGGGAAATACTTTGCCCGGGCAGCGCTGTCAGGGGCTTTTCGATTTTCAACTGCCAGGGGATTTTTCAGGTGCGCAACAATACACACGGACGTCTGATCTCACTATCCAGAGACCAGGGGGAAGTACTAGAAGTTCAAGTCTACTTAAAAAAAATCCGAGCCCTTACCGGGTATTAAACACGGAACCTCTAGCACACGAGGCGGACACCATGCCTCGAGACCTCGCAGCCCCCTAACTATAATGAAACTGTATGTGTAATATAATACTGTGTAACCCTGATTTACTGTGTTCGCAATACCACATGTCACATTGATAGTTTACTAAATTAATACATTTTGTGTAGAGGTAAGGTTCCATTTTGCGGTGTCCATAGCTAAGGCGTTGCGAGTCCGACTCGTAATCCAACGTACCGCGATCGAAACCCACTGTGGATTTTTATCGTGGTATGGGAAGTCGCAGGTCGACCCAGCCTCAAATGGGTACCAGGATGGGCTGCCTGGGAAAGTAAAGACAGCCGGCGTAATGCTGACCACATTACCCACCGAGTGCTGATGGTCTGTAAAAATATGTGTAATCTCCACAACCTGCACAGTCGTGAGTCAAGAGCTCTAACAGGGAAGTCTACACGATGAACTATCACTGAGTCTCCACGACATATAGTCGAAAGCCAGAACATTGGCGAGGAACGATCAAGTTCCCGCTGCAGAATGATTGCTTGCTGGATTAGCGAAGGACTTGCCAGGTCTTCGCAGCAAGACAATCTCCTCTCAACTGGCTTATCATTGAGCCCTGCCCAAGTTTATTCCACAGGATGACCAAACACAGACTTCCAACCGTAGACAAATCAAAAGCTCAAGACGTAAACTTGAGCAGAAACACTCGTCTCTCGGCAGACGCCAAAAACTCAGAAATTTGTACAGAACAAATCAGTTAGGTCTTTCTGCTCTGTCCTCTACCCGATCAAACACATACGCTCTCTGAATATTCACTTACCTGTTATTCTTCAAGCGCCATACGACCTGGTTTTCTCAACAACGAAAACAAAGCTGAATCTTTTCAAACATTCCAAGTTTAAATAATCTGTTTTCCTCTTGAGTTCTCGAACGTTCCACACATGATTCGAGCTTTTTCTTATCTGGCATACTTTCAGCCAACTCGCACACGTTATTCATTACTCCATCCTTTTTCGGCAGATATTATATTTCGTAATCAATAGAATTCAAACAAGCTCAGGCATAATTTAAGCTTAGTAGTTAACCTCACTTACACACACACACAAAAAAGAACATTAATTGCTCATGAGAAAATGACTCATTACAATTACTAAGTTATCAAGTTTATTCCTTCTCATAACATGTCTAAAAACACTGACTGCCTCAGAATAATAGTTATAATATGTTTACCACTTTCGTCTGCCTAGATGAGGACTGCTCGTCAACCACAGTCTAAGATATAAAGTTGAAAAGCCTTATTCATTATCCCCTCCTCATTTCAACATAGCAGACATGGATTTATAGGTTTTGTAAATGGTCGGGTTCAAACCTGCATCAAGTTAGATTTTTCACATTAATCATGGCTGTCTGGTCGACCAAAATAAAATAATAATTTAAAAAATGTACCTGAAAATTTAAAAAAATTAAGATTTAAAGACAGCCGTCTTAACAATTACCACGTCACTCAGCAAATGTCGATTTTCATTTACAAAATTAGGTTTACCCCTATAAGTTATATCCCACTGGCGTTAAAAAAAGCCTTTACTTTAAAATAAAATAACAGACTGTGATGTATAATCAAAAATAAATCTACTGTCATTATATTTTGCAGGAATAAACAGCTTAGCCGCCAACACGATAGAGGATATCCTGAAGAAACCTTTGCACAAATTGCATGAAACTACGCTAACTCTGATCACAAAATGTCTCGTCTTCCTCTATGGCATCCTGATCATAGGACTGGCTTATGGAGCAAGCTCATTGCAAGGATCGGTATCACAGATGGTTGCATCCATCACAGGTCCCTGGGCAGGAACCGTGTTGGGAATATTTCTGTTAGGGGCAATAGTTCCGTGGGCAAACAAATATGGGGCCATATGTGGTGGAGTTATTGCTCTTCTTTTTAGCATGTGGATAGCAATAGGAAATCAAATGTATGGAGGAAAGGCAGCAACGGTATCACCACCGCCTACTGACATGTGCTTTCAGAACAGTTCTCTGGGACAGTTCACAGTTGATGGTATGCTACAGACCAATTTCTACAATATAACATTTTTTCACTCAGATTTGGGAAATAAGTCAGTTATCGGTCATAGCAGCCAAAAGCGGCAACAGTCTACAGAGAGATTTTTTCCTTACGACATTTCTAACGAATGGTTCGCCCTTATTGGCTGCACCATCACACTAGTAGTGGGTACTGTTATCAGTTTCTTCACTCGGAAATGTGCTTTGTCCGTGACAGACCAGAAATATCTGTTCCCATTTATTCGGATATCGTCGGCTTCCAAAACGCCGGACACAAAATGTGAAGCAAATCATGAAGGCGGAAACGAAATGGCCCACTTAATGTCGCCTGCCATTAAAAGCAAGATTCTCATTTAA